CGTCAGACAGACACAGGCTTGTGTCCCAGCTCCACCCACCGCTCGTGGCAAACTTTGGCGGCTTGCAGAACCTCTGTCCGTCTCCGTCAGTCCCGAGAGCAGAATTTGGGGTTGTTTTGAGGATTAATTGAAACGCTGAGGGTGGAGGGCTTACTTCGTAAAGCGTCTGGTCGACAGACAAATGGCCTGTGCGTGTGCGGGCCCCTCCGTTGGCCCCCTTTTTCTTGTCGACCTGTTTCTTTACGTCTGCAAGTGGGCGGGGTGGAAGCCCTTTGCTCAGCAGGACACAGTCCCCGGGAGGGACCCAGCCTGGAGAAACCGCGGCCACTAAACCTCGTCATTTCCTTGTTTGCTCCTTCGAGAACTCCCTATGGTAACTAAATTCAGCCCTGTGGTCTGACCTCCAGCCTGTCTTCCCAATGGGAAATATGTGATATTCTGGCCAGATTGAGCCTCTCCCTACCGAGGGCAGTAGTACAAGCCTGACTGGACTCCTTATCTGTTCGGTGATTTATAGATTAAAAAACTATATATCAATTGTCCTTGGTGTCACACACGCTTAATCAGAATGTTTTCAAGGAAGATGCCTTTTGGATTGGAAAAATGCTGAGCTGTTTTAATGACAGTCTCTTCTTTCCGAACAAATCTTTTCTGTAGCTGGGGTAACTAATATTCTAAGGTTTTAATGATGTGATTAGGCAAAACAGAATAGGGTTGAATGATGGTGCATGCTAAATCGAATCCCATTTGTACTGCATCCAAATTAAGAGGCTGTATCAGTTGGGGTTATTTTCACTGTGAATAATGGAAAACTCAACTCAAAATGAGGCTTAAACAGTAGGGAAAAGCTGGTATCTCGCATAACTATTACCTCTTAGGTCAGTGCTAGGACACTAAACCCACTGGCTTGGAAAGGCCAACGAGTCACCCACTTGCATGCCTACGACCACTATGTACCTACCATTCGGAATAAGAACTAACCAGGACCCTAGAAGTCCACGTTTGTGCCTATAATTCCATTGCCTCTCCCTCCCCGCCCTCCCGCCACAAAGATGTTTATAATTTCCTTTTTTTAAACAAGTTTATTTTTAGAGCAATTCTAGGTTTACAGCAATATTGAGAGGCAGATACAGAGAATTCCCATTCACCCCCTGACCCCCTACCCCCAACACACACAGCTTCTCCCACTATCGGCATCCGCACCGGGGTGGTACATCTGTTACAGTAAAGGAACCTACACTGACACATCGTCATCACCTAAAGTCCCCAGTTTACATTATGATTTACTCTTAGTCTGTGGGTTTTGACAGATGTAGAATGACATTTATCTGCCATTATAATGTGTAGAATAGTTTCACAGCCCTAAAAATCCTCTGTGCTTTGTCTGTTCATCCCTTCTTCCCCAGCCTGTGTCAATCACTGACCTTTTTACCATATCCATAGCTTTATGTTTTCTAGAATGTCATGGAACCTTACAATATGCGGCTTTTTCAAACTGATTCATTTTACTTAGTAATATGCATTTAAAGCTTCTCATGTCTTTTAATGGCTTGATAGTGCATTTCTGTTCAGCGCTGAACAGTATTCCATGGTCTAGGTCACCACGGTTTATTGATCCAGTCACCCATGGAAGAACATCTTAGTTGATTCTAAGTTTTGCAATTATGAATAAAGATGCTACAAGCATCTCTGTGCAGGTTTTCGTGTGGACATAAAATTTCAAATCCTTTGAGTAAATACCAAGGATTGCTGTTTCTGGATTATATGGTAAGAGTATACTTATTTTTATAAGCAACTGCCAAACTGTTTTTCCAAAGTGGCTGTATCGTTTTGCATTTCCACCAGCAACGAATGAGAGTTTCTGTTGCCCCACATCCTTGCCGGCATTTGGTGTTGTCCATGTTTTGGATTTTTGCCATTCTAATAGGTATGTAGTGGTACCTTTAGTTTGCAATTCCCTAGTGACATATGAGGTGGAGCATCTTTTTATATGCTTATTTGCCATCTCTTTCTTTAGTAGTTGCCCTAGAGTTCGCAATACACCTTTACAACTAATCCGCGTCCACTTCCAGATAACATACACCACTTCCTGGTAGTGATAATACGTTCCTAATTCCTCTTTCCTGTCACTTGTATGATTGTTATTGTTTATTTCACTTATGTATAAACCATCATCATCAGTACATTGTTGCTTTTATTTTGAGCAGACCGTTATCTGTTAGGTCAATTAAAAAGAATAAGAAAATTTTTTATTTTACCTGTACTCATTCCTTCTCTGGTGCTCTTCCTTTTTTAAAAATGTTGATCCCAGTTTTTGACTTGTATTATTTTCCTTCTCTCTGAAGAACTTTTTGAAAACATTGATTGTAAGGCAAGTCTACTGGAAACAAATTCCACCATTTTTATCTGAGAAAGTCTTTATTTCTCATTCACTTTTGAAGGATAATTTCATAGGATACAGAATTCTAGTTTTTTTTTTTTTAAAACACTGAATATTTCACCTCGCTTTCTTCTTGCTTGCGTGCTTTCTGAGGAGAAGCTACATGTCATTCTTATCTTTGTTCCTCTATAGGTTAGCTCTTCCCCGGCCCCCACCCGCCCCCGGCTTCTTTTTCAGTATTTTTTTTCTTTATCTTTGATTTTCTGCTGTTTTTAAAAATTAATTA